AATATTTTTTATTTTTTATTTTTAAAATTATTTTTTATAGTGTATTATATTTTATCTCATTAATAAAAATAAATACTTAATTTATTAATATTAATAAAAAATTATATATCATAAATTTATATTTTATTTCAGAAATATTTATAACATTAAGTGGTCAAATTTATGTTTTAAAATTATTTAATGAAAAATAAAATATTATTATTTTTATTTAAAATGAATATATTTAATTTAATAATTTTTAAATAAAATATATAAATAATAAATTACTATAAAATTAATATATTTATTTTCATAAATGATAAATAATAACTATTTTTATATACAAATATTACAATATATAAAAATATAATAAATAGAAAATAATATATTCAATAAACCTTGAAAATACCCCCTATATCAACAAAAAAAAATTGACACAAACACTTGGAATATCACTTTTATCTTTTAGTAAATTATTTTGAAAAAAAGAATTAACGTTTGTTCTAAATTTTTAGCAATAGTAGTTAATAATAGTGGAATAATCATATTTATAGAAAAAAAAAAGAAGAAATAAATTTTATAATAAGTAAGAATACTCAATAGTGAAAAGGTGAGATTGACAATTTTTTCTATAAGTATTTAAATATGTTAATACAGGTATGTTTGATCACGTAAGGACTCATTCATAATAATATAGACTCAAGTAGTTTACCAAATAAATTGATAAGTTAGACATACTCAATCCATCAAGTGAAACTAGTAGTGTCTTGGTCATGATCAATTATAGCTAAAATTCCATTAAAGATTGTTTTTACATGGTAGAATATCCTCAAGGAATGTAAGATTTTCATGAGGTTAATCTTGAGTAACCATCCACGCACGAATACCTTCGTTTAAGAGAATGTTTAGGTCCTTATGTTATTTAATTAAAAATATTAATAATTATTTATCATAAATAAATTGAAAGATAATAATAATATTAAAGAAAAATGATTTTAACAAATAAAATAAAGGCTTAAAATTGTAATTGGTCCATATAAATATAGTATATTTTGCGATAAGTTCTTATAAAAAATTTTCTTAAGATTTAGTTTATACAGTCAACTTCCTTCTATTACTCTCATATGACATGTCACGTCATTTAATTTTAATTTTTTAAAATATTTAAATTAATATTTACAAATAAATTCATAAATATATTTATAATAAGTCCCCTCCTTTTCTGCTTCTGCTTCCATTTTCCTTTCCCCGCACACGCTACTCATCCCCACCCCTCCTTTCTACCTACACCCACATCCCCAATCCCAACCCATCTCCCTCCTTGCAATAGTCTTTGTGAAGCTTTGTTTATTTGTAGGTGGCAAAGACAAGGGAAGTTACAAAAAACATGGAAATAAGCTTATAAAGGATAAGTCACATTACTAAAGAACATTAGAAGGTTTTTTGTAAATTGTCCCACCTACTTTCACATTACTTCATAAGGTTCTTGTAAGAATCACCCAAGGTAAACCTATTGATTACATGGCTTGAGAAACTAGTAACTAAAATTGGTACTTAGGAAACTTACCTCAAAATAGCTTAAATATATATATATATATATATATATATATATATATATATATATATATATAATGCTTCTTAAAACTTCACATCGAAGAAAAGTGAACTACTCTTTTCACAATGTAAACTTAGGTCTACCATAATTTGATTAATGTGTCGTTGCCTATATCAGGTTATCGACCATTTTATAACCTATTTGGATGCATGATGAATATAATTAAAAAAAAGTTTGTTTCTTTATTTTTCTGTGACAACATGCAGAGTTGGAGTTGGGGGTTGAGGTGGGTAATGGGGAAAGGGAGGGTTGAGGGAAGGGGTGAGATTGGAGGTGTGGAGGTGTGGAGTGGATAGGGAGGAAGGGAAGGAGTGGGGTAGGTAGCAAAAAAAAGAAAAAGGTGAGGGACTTATGTGCAAATATATAAAACATATTTAGAAACTTATTTGTAAATATTAATTTTAAATAATAAAATTAAATGATGTGACATGTCACGTAAGAATGTTGAGCTAACTTTTTGTAAATTAACTTAGTACTTAACATAAGGTAGTTGATGACAGAGATAATTATATCTTCTTAACATTTTAAGGACTAAATATAAAAAAAAATTATAAAAACTTATCGTAAAATATATTATATCTACATTGACCAATCAAATGTTTAAGTCTAAAAAAAAATAAAAAATAAAAGGTTAATGCAAGTGTTTTTCTCTTTTCTAGAAGAGGGACAAGTCACAATTGTCATCATTAAGTTTAATCACATCATAAATTGCTTTATGTATAAAGGTTGCCTAGTAATTCGGTGCAAGAATGATTGAACAAAATTTTAAAATTGCAAATATAATTTTCTTAACATAGGCATTTAAAAACTATAAATTAATTTTAAGTATAAAAAATATATTAGAAAGTTTTGTCAATTTAAATGTTAATATAAATCGTAAAATCAATTTTAACATCTTTTTAAAAATAACATAAATTATCATTCTTACAAATGAAATTTGATGCATACACTTTGTTAAAGTAAATTTATTGAATTATGTGACCCAATTATGTTTTTTTTCTAAAAAATATGTGATAATATATTGATTTAATTATGTTTTTGATCTATATGAAAGTAATATTCTTTATGATAAGTCTTTAAAAAAAAGTTGTTATGATTCAATTTTTGACTTATTTAAAATGTTATGATTTAGTCTATATTGTTAACTCATTTCTATTAAGTGATAAGTTAGATAACGAAAATTTAACTCATCATTATCATGTCATTTAATTTTTTTAAAATTTTTATTATTTAAAATTAAAATTTAAAAATAAGTTTTTGAACATATTTTAAATATTTTGTAAACCAGCTCCTAAAACCTTAATCCCTTTCTCTTCCTTCTCCATCTCCTTCTCCCTTTAGTCCTTCTTAACCTCACTCTCTTATTTCTTGATTTTGCCAAACCCCTTCTTACCAACAAAGGACATGGATCAAGCTTGACTTCTTATTTTTTTAGGCTTTGTTTGAATGTTTAGAGGGAGAAGGAAAAAAAAGGATTTGAATGGAGAAGGAGAAGAGGATAAAGACAGTTAATCATCTCTGATCTCTCTTGCTTTAAATATTTAATATTGAGAGGGGGATAATGGAGGGAGAGAATTTTTACTCTTTTACTCTCTCGTGCTATGTTACAATTGAGATTTTATTTTATTTTTCAAAATATATTAGTTTTTAAAGTGAGATTTTTTAAAAAAAATTATAAAAAAATATTAATTCTAATAATATTAATTTTAAAAAAAATATTTAATTTTTTATATTTTTTAGAAAAAATATAAATAAAAGATATAAAAGGCAATAATATCATTTATGATTAAACTCTCCATTATCCTCCCCTTTCTACTTTTTTCCCTCATCTGCCGCATTCTCTCTTTTTTTACCCCTTGCCTTAGCCACTTCATCTACCCCCAATCCTCAAAACTTGTTCAGACTCATGTTCCACTAATTTGGTGCATACCTAAATATTAAAATTTGATTTTAAGCAATACATAGTTATGCAAACAACTCTTATTAACTCTTACTCGAGGATTTTTGGTGGTTTAGAAAGTGTAAAAAATTGTGTTTGATAAAATATCTAAAAAAAATATTGTCTTTAGTGTTATGGTTTTTAGGTATGTGAGAGTTAAGGATGTTAATAATGTTGTGAAGTTGTTTAATGAAATGTAAGAGAGAGATATGTTATCTTAGAATGCTTTCATTGTTGGGTGTATTCTTACTAGCTAATATCATCCATGAAAATTTTGAAATTAATCTTTGTTCACATTCAAAGTTTCTATTTTCCTTTGTTATTGAGTTTCTTTTCTCATTGTGGATCCTCCTATCTTTAAGGATGCAGTGAAAGAAGAGAAAGAAATATAATTCATAACCTATGAAAAAAAGAAAGGGATTAAAGTTCGAAAGACTTGTTTACAAATAATGTGACAATGACAAGATGAATGTAATTATAAAGAAGTTAACAGTAATGGTTAAATCATAACGTTTTAAATAAGTTAGAGATTAAATTATAACAAAAAAAAAATTTAAAACTTATCCGAAATAACGTTCCTTTTATATGGATTAAATATATAATTAAGGCTTACGTATTTTATGAATTTATTTTAAAAAATTTGAAAATATTGTTTTGTATAATTATTTTTTACATTTTCAACGTAATTAGAATATACAATAAATATAATTTCTAATTTAATTGTTATAAAAATTGATTATTCTTGTTAATAAAATAATTCATAGTTAAGTGATTAAATTTTAATTAAATGGATACTTTACTTAACTTCATAATAATGTACATATGACTTTACTTAATTTAATTTAAAAATCATCTGATAGTATAAAAACCTGTTAACTAAATTAGATGCTCGATTATACGAACTTTCTACTAAATTTACTTCTATCATGTAAAAAATTGTATATTTGAATAAGAAAATATCATTTTAACACTGTATGAAATGCATACGTCTTTAAAGAGAAAAAAAAGAGATTAAAAAAAAGTGATTAAACTGTGTTAGGCTGTTAGCGATAATCTTGTGAACTTATCAACTCCACCATGAACAATTGAACACTGTCTGTGCCAAAAGGGGCAGTTTTGCAGTTAATTTAATATACTCTCTCAAACATTTTTTTAAAATATATGTTTAGCTTTTAATAAATTTTAATTAATAATTAAGAATATATTAAAAAATATATACTAAACAATACATGGCCACCGTTTCTCGTCATGCTGATTTATGATTTATGTCTACGTATTGCTTATACAAATTTTGGTACAAATAATACATTTTTCAAGCATCATAGATCATGTCATTGCCAGTTATCACAAAAATCGCGGGTATCCCACTCAATTCAGAAACTAAACCATTGTTTCCTCTTTTGTCTTTTGAAGTTGAGTCACCGTCCTTTGCCAGTTATAAGACCACTATCTCACCCTCCCTTTCACACTTGCAACATCCTTGTACTGTATCAAAGTCGTATAACAACTTGACTTGTCTCTGCTCTTTCTCCAAGTCTTTCTCACTCTCCAAAATAGGAACTCAGACAAAGATTCAACAACATCCATGGCTGATGCCACCAAGTACCTTCCCATAGGCGTTGGAGGGAACTTCAACTCAGACTTCAAAGTTAAAAGCTTCTTTCCCATTCTCAAAACAAGAAAAACACTCGCGTTTGCCTATGCCTTTATGCTTGCCTTTGTTGCTTTCACTGTTTTTTTAGCCTTTTTCCCTTCTCCAAACATTTCCTCTCCCTTCTTCCCCAACATATTCAGCTCCACTACTACCTCGTACAAATCCCAACTTTCTTCCATTTCCTCATTCTTCTTCCACAACACCACTTCATCTTCATCTTCATCTTCTCCCACCCTTCATAGCAACACTTCTAGATCCACCAATAAGACTATTCAATCTCCTAACACAACTAGTACAAAAACATTAAAAGCCACCCCTTTTGAAAACCGAACTCAAAATGCTCTCAAATCATCTCAACATGCCGTTCCAACTACAAATAAGACATCAATGCCCACCCCAAGTTCTGCGGTGGCAAGTAATCACACAGCGAAGGTACCATCAAGTGTTAACAATCGTACTCAAGTTTCTAGAACTTCAAATGGTGCTGCCTCTCCACCCAAAGTTTCAGGGCCAAGTCCCAATCAGAATTTGAGTTTTTCGGTGAAGGGAGGGAACACAGAAAAGGGTGTTGCGCATAATAATTACACGGCTTCCCTTGCGAGGAAACAGAACGATAGGAACAAGGATTCGCAGGTGAAGGATGAAAAAGTGGAGGCTTTGATCAAGTGTGATTTTTTTGATGGGGAATGGGTTAAGGATGATTCTTATCCTCTCTATGAACCTGGTTCTTGCACTTTGACTGATGAACAGTTTAACTGTATCCAAAATGGAAGGCCTGATAAAGACTATCAGAAATATAAGTGGAAGCCAAAGGGATGCAACCTCCCTAGGTATGAGAATCTGGTGAATCTCTTATGTTCTATAGGTGGTTGGTGTATTGTTAGCTCTAGACTTTTAATTTTAAGGTTCAAGGTATAGTTAGCACTAGGTTTTAATTTTTAAGGTTTACCCATTTGATGAGTGCTTGTATTTTGTCCAAATTTGACACTATTTTGTTTTGTTTGATTCATGATGATTTTTAATTGATGTCTTTGGATCTCAGTTTGGTTGATTTGCTAATATTTGTGCATGCAATTGCTAATAGGTTGGATGGACACCGAATGCTAGAATTGTTGAGAGGCAAGAGGCTTGTGTTTGTTGGTGATTCCCTCAATAGGAATATGTGGGAATCTCTAATTTGCATTCTGAGAAACGCTGTGAAAGACAAAAGCAAAGTTTATGAAGCAAGTGGAAGAGTTCATTTCAGAGGGGAAGCCTCTTACTCTTTCATATTCAAAGTAAGTATTGATTTCTTCTGTGTTTTAGTTAATTTTTCCTTTCATGGTTTTTTGTTTTTTTTTTTTAATACTAAATGCACGGTAGGATTACAACTTCTCGGTGGAGCTTTTTGTATCCCCATTCTTAGTTCAGGAGTGGGAAATTCAGGTCAAGAATGGAACGAAGAAGCAAACTCTTCGTCTTGATTTAGTTGGTAAATCTTCAGATCAATATAAAAATGCAGACATAATCATCTTCAACACAGGCCATTGGTGGACTCATGATAAAACTTCTAAAGGGTAAATGCATTACAATTTCTCTTAGATGTGATTGCTATTCTAGCTTTTTATTTTCAATCTTCTTATCCTAATTATGTTTTCTAAGATTACAATGCAACACTCAAGACATTGTTAATTAACTAACTTGCCCAACAAAAATTCAAGGAAGGACTATTACCAAGAGGGTAGCCATGTCTATGATGAATTGAATGTTTTGGAGGCGTTTAGAAGGGCTATAACAACTTGGAGCAGATGGGTTGATGCCAACATTAATCCATCCAAGTCTATGATCTTATTCAGAGGATATTCTGCTTCACATTTCAGGTTAGTACTAATGAATTGGTGATTATTGTACTAATCTTGGTCTCACACTACGTTGTGTTTGGGCTTCACTTTCAGTATCACTCACAATGACATTTTATTTCCTTTAACCAAATTATTATACCATAGAACAAAATAACTAACACAAACTTTTGTGTTTATAATTTCATCATACTATAGTGGTGGGCAATGGAATTCAGGTGGACAATGTGACAGTGAAACTGTGCCTATCAAGAATGAAAAATACTTGAAGGAATACCCACCTAAGATGAGGGTATTGGAGAATGTTCTAAAGTATATGAAAACACATGTCACATACTTAAATGTCTCTAAAATGACCGATTTTCGGAAGGATGGTCATCCCTCCATATATGGGAAGCAAAACCTTTCACCAGAGGAAAGAAAATCACCATTGAGGTACCAGGATTGCAGCCACTGGTGCCTCCCTGGTGTTCCTGATGCATGGAATGAGATTCTATATGCTGAGCTTCTATTGAGACACTTTCAGAATCAGCATCAGCAGAATAGACCATAGGAAAAGTACAAAACTTTAGGCTACTTATATTGAATGAGTTTAATTAGGTGCAATAAACCATTTTTGGCTCTTCCATATAAGGATAAGGAAAGAAACAACCATACAAGACAAGTTTTTCTGATTTTTGTAAAGATTCATAAGGTTTATGTTTAGTGAAACATGATATGAGAGAAGTTCCTTGAAACTATACAATATATTTGTTTATATAAATGATACAAGTTGTTCAGAACTAGGGAAAAATAGAATATAATGGCTGGTTTAGTTTGTCATTGTAAACCATCCTCTCCCTTTCAATTTATTTTTGTTTGTAAAGGCTCAGTTCTATTAATGTAACCAATTCCTGGAGCCATCTCAATAAATATGTAGTGGTGAACAATTGAAGGTTAAAATTTAGTTTGATGAAATTATTTATAGCTGCATTCCCCAAAGAGAAATGTTTATAGTTTTCTAAAAATAGAGGGATAATATATCTACAATCTAAGGTTGGTGAGAGGGAGAATAACTAATTTTATATTGATTTGGAAGCATATGGGGTGATGATCAAGCATTCAAAACATGAGCTCTTGTGGTCATAAATTATGTTTGTTTGGTTCTTCTGTGAGGTTCCCCCTCCATTTTTAGAGCATCTTTTTGGTTCATTTTTTAATTGTTTTCAAGTTGAAAACAATCACTTGATTTTATCGGGCTTTGTTGTTTAAACCAAAAATAGTTCTTTTATTCTTTTATGTCTATAAAAAATTTAAAATGGGTCTGAAACTTTTTCTTCATTGTCACATGAAGCGTTTGACTATTGCAAAGCGTCTATTCATCACCCTAACGTTCTGTTGTCATATTATATTCGACTACTACAGGATTGGGTTCTTGGTTTCAATCTTCAATAATTCAGATTCGAACTCTGGGTTAACACTTAAAAGAGGGAACAGTACGGTTAATAAATAAAATAAACACAAAATATAACAAAATGTAAAAAATATTGTTTTTTTTTGAAGTATTGATAAAAACTTGTGACTACCATTTACTAATAAAGATAAATAATTACAAATAAAATAAATAAACTAACTAACTGGTAAATTCACACAATTTACCACTAATTTATTCAACTTATCTAATAAGTTAAATGAGTTAAGTTTAAGAAAATTAAAATATTTGTAGATTAAAATCTTACTAGTTTGATTCATTCATAATTCATACCTATTCGAATTAGCTCACGTATTATAACTAATTTAATTGCGTTTGTAATTCCTATATTTTAATGAATTTTTGGTTTCGGTCCTTAAGTTTTAGTAAATTATTGTTTTAATTATGTGTTTCTAGTTGTCTAACCAAAAAGACCAAATTAGTAATAACAATTAAAAACAATAATTTTTGAAAAAAAATAAAGACTATAAATGAAAAATATATATTTAAAGAAACTAAACAAAAAAATTACTAAAAAGTGAAAATTAAAACCATATTTAAGCCTTTTAACATTTATGGATTTTTAGCTTTTTCAACGTCCAAACATTCCTATAAAAACCTATAATAATGATAGAATAATTTATTTTTTAAAGTGATACTTTTATGAATAAAAGTGATTTTTATTCATGTTTACTGTATAATGTTATTGTTTATCTCAACATCAGCAAAGACGTAAAATGAAAAGATAATTAATAAAATTAAAATGTTTATATTTGAAAAATATCAATTTTTATAAGTATTTGTTTTTAAAAAAAAAGAAAGGGTATAACGATCCAACTCATATATTACTGAAAAAGGTTCAGCTTGCCTTGCATTGGCAAAATACATAAATTTTTACTTAACCTTTGAAATTATCATATTTGATAACATTTTAAAACATGTTCGCAGTTTCGTATTATACAGATGATATCAAAGTATTGAATGCTATTAAATGATAAGACTAAAAGTTCAATGTTCTTTCTACAATTATTTTACACTTATTATGTAATATACGTGAGTGAGAATTTCATAGATTTTTATACGATAATATGGATAACTCACTATTTAGAAAGAATCATTTCAACTATTCGCTGTTAGGTTTATTCATGTTAACGCAAATTTTATTTAACAATAATAAAACTATTAGTATGAACATTAACGAAGTAGAAGAGTTGAAAACAAAAGATGAGGAGTCGAATCTGTTTTTAAAATAATTTGCAAACTTTTTAAAGGTAATTTTCTTAGAACATATAAAAGATTAGAGTAAGAAACATAAATATAGTGTTTATACTAGTTTTCTTTTATGTCTAGTCTTTTATCTTAACCGAATTTTTCACTATTTCTTATATTTATACACAAATATCTCATCATCTAAGTATTTTCAGTTCAAATAAAAATTTAAGTATTTTTTATATGTAACTGCCCAAGCAAACACTCTTCAAATATATATATTTGATGAATGTTTTTGCTTTTTTTTATGTTCTTACACTAACTTACTTTTTGTATGGAATTATTTTCAATTTATAATAAATTTACTCAAAATTTATATTATACACTATAATATGTTTATTAGACTTAATGAACTTCTCTACCAAAAAAATATTCTCATAGACGAACAAACTTTTTTTTATTTTAAAATACTTTCTATCATTTGTCTTTTTGTTAATTTAGTATAAATCACAAAGATGAATAAAAAAATGATTTTGTTTTTCATAAATAAATATAATATTATTATTCTCAATAGAAGTTCTTTGATTATAGTCAATTTTTCATGTTCTAATGTATCTGTGATTTAAAAAGTTCTAATTAGTATTTTTTTTTTATTTGAGTAGATTTGTTTTTAAAATCAATTTTTATTTTTAAATGGAACTTTGACTTTATTTTATCATTTATATGATCTTTTAAAATGTCTTACATTACAATGATTAATTATATGATAAGGCGATTGGATTATAGAAGGATACAATTAGGTACTACCATTGCTGAGCTTATCAAGCAAAACATTATAGTGAAAGTCAATGATTGTTTTTATTCAATAGTCATGCTTGAAGAGCATGCCTGTAATGTTAGAGCTGCAATAGAAGAAGGTGTGGCTAACTTTTCTGAGGATGGCAATGAGTCTTCTGAGATTGGTTCAATAGAGTTGAAAGCATTGGATAACTATTCTAGTGAGGAGGAGGGTGTGCTGCAAGGTGATATCGGAGGTAAGGGTGTCATTTGGTTGATTCTATGTTTAGGAGTGAAGTGTCAGTATCAGCAAAAGGGTGTTTGGTGAATGAGGGTTTAGAGGCTGGTGGTGTAGATGCTATGAATCCGACGGTGCTTATCTGTGATGTTGTGCATGAGCCTTCTAAAAATGTGGAGAAAGAAATCCCAATAGCAAGAGCTCGATTGAATTTATCAGATCCATTTAGATTAGACGCATTGATCTGGGAAAATCCAGAGTAAAGGGATAAGGAGACAATTGGGATAGCGCAAGTTGACCCCTTTCAATTCAAATCTGGTATTGGGAAAGAGAGGGTCAATGTGCGTGAATCCCTTCGGAAAGCACGCTCTGTGAAAGGTAAACGAGTTGATGAAGGAGGGAAGAGACAGAAAAGCATAGTTTCCATAGAACCACCTCAAAAAAACCTTAGGGATAATAGTAGAGACGCATCAATATCGTCGCAACTTATAAGCCAGGGATCGCTAGCTGATGAAATATCGGCTAATGCTTTTGAGGGCTCCTACAACTCACATCCTTCTGATCCTTCAGTGGAAGTGGAGGAGCGAATGGCTACTACATATTGTGATGATGAGGTCATGGAGTCGAGGTTACTAGACATTGGCAACAAGGTTGGTATGATTGTACATGAGAATGATGAGCAGGTTCAAGAGAAATTGATTGAGATAGAGGTACGCGATAGAACAACTGCGAAAGAACATGGGGTTCATGTTAGGCTTGTGATTTATTATTGAGTAATTTATAACATTTTATACTTGTTCAATGTTAATTGAAGGATTATTTGGTATTGGAATAAATTTAGATGGAGTTTGGAATTATTTATTTTAAAAAAAAAGTGAACAATACCGTATGAACAGTACCGAATGAAAAGTAAAACCGCCTATGAACAGTGTAAACTGCGTACAAACCGTGTATGAACAGTAAAAATCGCGTATGTACAGTGACTGCTGACGTCATCAGTGACATCATTATGATGTCATGACTGACGTCACATACGCGTACACAGTATTTTCTGGCATGAATAGTGCCCTGAACAGTGTTTCCGGCAGTGAACAGTAATTTTCAAAAATTTTCTATAAAAAAGGGGCTTCACACAAAATTTTCATTTCTTCATTCCTATCCAAGGTTCTCAAAGATTTTAAGGCTATATACTACCATTTTTTCTCATAATAAACCCTCATAAACTTAATTTTCTCGTCAGATCTGAGATTCTACGTCTATTCTGAGGGATTTGAAGTAAGTTTCTTTAAGTTTGAAGCAAGATTTACCGTTCGTTTCTCTTCTTCTTCTTCACTTTCTCATAGAAATTCATGGTGTTCTTAGGAGAAACTCCGTTCTAAAGCCAAATTTTAGGTGAATCTTGCTATAAATCAAGTAATATTCGGTACATCTAGTGTAAATCATCGTTCTGAGGTAAGGGAAGTTTACTTTAGCCTATAATCTATGTTTTGGACGATTGATATATTATTACAAGAAGTTTTGATATGAATTTTGTTAGATCTTTTGAATAAAAGCTATTTTCTAAGCTGTAACTGCTGTTAATTAATTTAAAATGCTGAGGTTTTGGCTGATCTATCTTAAACTTGCCTTAGCTGAGCTGTTAAAATAATTTTAGCAGTGTGCATCATGCTAAGATATATGTTTTACATCATTATAGAGCTGAGTTACATGTTTAAGTGGGTAGACGTGTAATGGTAAGTTCATGCTGAGCTATTGTGCTGTGCTGTCTAGATCTAGATACTGGAATGGGTCGCTCCTGGACCGGCTCGGTTCCTTCTGGATTACTTAGGCTGTGAAACCAGTTGGAAACCGTTTTCATGTTGTGCATTAGATGAGCTGGAAATGCATGGAGTTATTGCTGTGAGAAATATTTTGCTCTATATATATGATTTTATTTTATTTTTGTAAGCTCACCCTTACATTTCTTTCTATGTCGTTGTGTGCGTGTGTACTGCGATGATCGTACGGTGGTACGTGAGCAGATGTAGCAGGTGTTGCATCTACTTCACAGGCTGAGGGTCCAGTGGAGAAATGTTAGAAGCTAAAGTCGAGTAATATTGCATCTAAGTCCTTTTTCCTTATATTTTGAGACCTCATGTAGAGGGAGCTACGTAGTATAATTTTGGGTATTTTGAATATTATGAACTAAATGTAATATTGTGTTGTTTTATTGGATATTTGTTGTAAGAAACTTTGTTTTATTTTGAATGAGAAGTGAATTTT